TCAATCTTTGACTAAATCGTCTCCATATGAAAGTATATTTCTCTGTAAAGATATATCATTAGTTATTAAGCCAAAGGGATAATTATTTTCCACTTTCTCCAATAAACCCCGTGTATGTGTCTGATTGGGTTTATCGGAGCCCCTTTATAGCACTAAATAATAGACACCATAGTATTTTAGATTTTATTTTGTTATCGCTATTATAATGAATCTAACCTACTGATCTTATAAGATTCCATTCCGACTTTATTTCAGATGGCGAATGCTGCAGCCTGATAGAAGGCCTCCTTGGCCTAAGCATGATGGGCCAGACTCTATCTGGACTGCTTGATTACATTGATCAGGTTTCACCTTACTTTCTACGTCCTCCGGCTTTACTATGTGGCCCAATTCATGGCCGTGTGTTACTAAACTGCCCTCCACCGGGTCATCCCGAGTTAGCCACTCGGCCAGACCACATTCCTCCCCATCTTCCTCTCTGCTTTAACGAGCTCACTTCGCATTCAGGTCTGTTGTCATTTTATATACCAATTTATACCAACTAGTTTTATTTATTGTTCTGGAAGTAAGACGATATCTGCTCAAGTGTCGTTTTTTGTCATCGATTCCCTGGCTTCACTAGGTGATAGAATGTAGCCATTATCAGCAGAAACAGCCACAGGAAGGACTACTTTTTCTCTTTGACTGCCTCACTTAATACAATATGAAAACCCAAGTCATTTTAAGTCGCATAAGGTGATATATTATGTATTATTAAAGTTTCCAAAATAAAAGGAATAGAAGGCCTGACGACGCCACTGTATTTCACATTGCCTTGAATATCAAATCAAGTAAACTAGGCAAACTGCATTTTTAACTTCGCCTTTGTCTCATTTATACTTTCGGCATGCGTGATAAATGAGTCATGTGCCTTAAACGGCAACTGTACCTCCCTTTAACGGCCTCTAGTTCTGGTGAGTTGTGGGTCAAATAAAACTTTTAAGACTGGCCAGGTACTGCCCAATTCACAATATACTGGAACTGATAAATTTTTTTTACACACAGTGATATT